TGGTGGGTCTCCCCCCTCCCCACCCCCCCCCTTCCTACGGTCGCATGCCCAAGTCCGTCTGCCGTGCACCACCCAACAAATCCAACTCGCCGCCGCCTATCTCGCCGATGACTTTGCGTGCAGGAGGCCATCTACTGGAAGCACTCCGCCATGGATCGCTTTGTCTCGACACCCTCTAGTCTCTTCGCTTCCTCGCCCTGCGCCGCCCGCGTACACACGCTGGACACCTTTCATCTTGGCCTCGTTAGCTCCATCACCACGCACGCTGCCGTCGCCGCCGTGCCCCGTCGACACTATCCAGCTCTCTGCCGTCGTCGTCTCGAGCCCGAGCCAATTTGCCTGCGGCTGGTCGAACGGTGGATGACCCTGGCGCGTCTGGGGTTCGCGCTGCTGGGTGGTAGCCTCAATGCCGTCTGCGCGTAGCCCTTGCCGTTCGCTGCGCATTGCCGCCCCATCACTGGCCCAACCTGACCCCGTCGATCTGACGCAGCCCGGAGACAGTATGACTCACTCGACCGTGAATATTCTCACCCGGCCACAGGCTGCTCTCGCCACGACCTTACGTCTGTGATGCCATTGCCCCCAAATCCGGTTTTTGACACCCCCCCCCTTCCTCCCCACGTCGTATATGACCTTTTGTGTCGGTCCAGTGCTTTGGGTCGTCCAGTCCACCCACTCGACTAGTGCCGATTCCCGGTCCACCGTTGCAATATGATGACCCCGCTGCGAGGCAGGAAACCATCGCGCCGACACAATATGTTGCACCGTGACGTACGTCCGTCTTGCCTTGGTAACACAGGATGCGACCCGCTAACGCCATAGACCTGGCAGAACAGCACCGATCATCCCCAGGTCATGAATGCTAGAACCACAACTAGCCGGCCATGGAGCTGCTTGCGAGCGTGTTTCCGGCTCTTCGCTATTGCCAAAGACAAGTTCCTACTAGATGCACTCGACGCCGACAGTCCCTTTTATCGCCGTGTCCGAGAAGGCCGACGTGCACCCTTGCGCGCACCAATCTCGATGTGCCCGTCCGCGCCGCCTGCGATTCCGTCGCATACTCCATGGGCAGGCGTGCCAATGACGCACTTTCGCCCCCGCCCCTCCCCCGCGGACATGTGTCGCGCCGCCCTCACGCATTGTCTCGCGCATACGACCCCATCCGCCGACGCCGTCTCGACTCGATGGACTCGCGCTGGAATCGAGAGTGTGACATGTACGCTCCACTCTTCCCCGCGGGGCCGAGGCCCAGCCGGTGAAATCCAGTTTTGGTCCTTCGCTCTGTAGCAGTCCGACACGGCGCCGCGAACGCAGCAGCCGCGCCCTTGCGCCCGAAATGACATGCCGCCGCGCGCCCGTCGCAAGACTCGGGACGCGGGGCCCAGCCGAGCGGATGACGGCCAGCGTGGAGAGGCGAGAGAATGCACAAGGCCCCCAAGGGGCGAGTGGGAGAGCCCTCGAAAGGGAGAGAGCCACGAACAACGCAGACTATTACGTGTAAGCCCGCCCGGATATGTCTTGGTGCGAAACTCAAACCACGCCACCGCGGAACAAAGTCAACACATGCGGCATGGCGCCCCCGCCCGACGCATCTGCCGGCGCAGATTGCGGACGCTTCAGTGCGCGCTGCGCAGGGCAGGGCCAGCGGCTGGCGACCGAGTGCACACCCAGCGGCCCTGGGCCGAGTGGTGCGCGGGGACGCCCGAAGCCAGGACGGGATCAAACTGATCGATCCGCAGAGAGGCTGGTGCGTCCTGGCCTGCCCCTCGGTGGTGAACGCCGGGCGAGTGACGACCCTAGCCTCGAGCGCTGCGCTACGCCAATTCAGCGGCGGGCGCCGGCTGGACCCGCGCCAATCTCTGCCTGCGTGTGCGGTTGAGGGTCCTCGTATTCCGTTAAGGTTCGCACACCGCCCTCCTTGAAGGCCTCCACCTCCCGTACTTCGCTGCCTCGGGCTATACATATCGTCCGCTGCACGCGACGGCGCGATGGGCTGTCGTGGAGACTGCGTTCGCGCTCCATGGCGCTGCGGCTCGCGCTGGGCGGGCGCCCACATGTGCGCGGGGCGCCGCCGGGCTAGCGCAGACCCGCGGGGGCAGAGTGGTTGTGTCGTCGTTTACATCGTCAGCGGCGCTGCGGCGATCTGGGTGGGCACTGGTTGGGCAGGGCTGCCGCCCCGGACCACCGTGACGCACGATGCAGGGCGGAGATCGCGGGACGGGAGGCTAGTCAGATTTAGGCGTAAACGGCTCTTGTCCGTTTGCTGCAGTCAGATGGCGCTCGAGCGCCGCGTCTCTGCCAGGACTGCGCACGTCTACTGGCGTAACCTTGTTCCAACATGGACCATAGTATGCGTTGTGGGTTTGTATCAGACAACATTGTGATCTCTTTCCCCCGACGGCCGACAGCGAATAAGAGATATATACACTCGACAAGATCGTGCTAGACGCGAACAGTCGGAACAGGAAATTCTATGCACATATCAAAGTCCGCGATGCCCGCTTCAAAGCCCGACCCGAGGCGCAGTGCACCCGATCCAGGTTGGAGCCGCCGCTCCGCTGCAACTCCAGTCTCCGCCCGACGATGCCATCAGCCGCGGCCAGTCGATGCGCGTAACGCCACAAGACCCCCGAACAGAACGACAGTGCGAGCGAAAGACCCCGTCCAGGCCTCTCCCCAACTCCGCGAAAATCGACAGCCAAGCCAGGCACCTCGATCCAGATCGCCTAGATTCGTTAATTAATGCTAAACTCAGTTCCCCGTGTGGCCTTGCAGAAACGGCTGCGTCAGTCCTGCGCCAGACATCCTGCATGCAGGAATAGAATGGCGCCGCAGCTGTTGCACGTCCCCGGTCGCCTGCTGCACCGACGCCTGCATCTGCAAGTTTGCAAACTGCGCGCACAACATTTCAGTCAACGCACACGCAAACGGTGCACATCGTAGACCGCTCACCTCGCGCTCTTCTTCCAACGTCTGCACATTCAGGTCCCGGATGACATCCTGCATGCGCACAAGGATCGTCTACCACAAAAATCATCATCAATGAACGGTAGACACAACACGACGCTGCCATACCCGGATAGACCGACTGTTGAGTCCACGGTACGTCGAGACGCGCTCCAAAGGGATGGGCTCATGTCCCGCGAGGCGAATCTGCTCGTGAAGCCACTGCACGTAGTGCTCCAGACATTCTAGATAGCTCCGCTTCTTGTCGTGCGACGTAATGGTGTCCCTGGACTGAATCAGACGCTAATTAACAACTCTCGCTTTCCGTGTACTTACGGGTCTGTCGGTGCGAAGCCAATGCTCTCGGCGACCGCACGAAAGTACGCCTTGCGCTGCGTCTCTGGCTGCTTCGGGAGCACGGGGGCAGCACTTTCATCATCTGCTTTGCCTGCGTTCCGCGCTGCACCGGCACCCGAGCACCCCGCGGCCGCGGCGACCTCTGAGCTTGCTGCATCGGCGCCAGTGGCTGTAGCGCCAGAGTGGCTCGAGTCGCGCGCATTGAGCTCTGCGAGGAGCTCAGAGGGCGTGGGGAACATGGTACGAGGAAGGCTACCGAAGACAACCAGCGGATTCTGGTCGGCCAGAGGCGCGGCATTCTCGGCGGCAGCCTCATGCGCCAAACCGGGGAGGATAAATTGCGGTTTGTCTGTGGAGTTGGCGGTCTCGGGCACGGATGTGTTTGCATGAGCCATGGTCACCGGTGCAAGGGAAATCTCCGACGACATGAAAGGCGAAATGCCAGAGAGGGGTACCGGAGCGTGAAGGGGAACCTCTTGTATGTACTGGTTGGATTGCTCGGGTAGAGAAAAGATATACTCGGAGGGATCATGATACGAGAGGTGGGTGTGCGCAGGGTATGCATACGCATCTGAATGCTCTGGCTGCGGGTAGGACGGGTACGCATACATGCCGTGTATATATTGAGATGGGTAGGATGAAGGGTCGGGAATGGCGGGCTGAGACTGGTAGTCATAGGCGAACGAAAATGGCGGCCCCTGGCTATATTGGGACTGGGACGCAAATTCGTCGGGCTGGAAGGGGTGTCAGCGACCATGATAGGAATAAATGTAGGGAGGGGGAGACCGACCATTGGAGATACGTGGGGGTGAGAATTGGAAAACGACTGGCGCTCGGACGAGAGGATGTAGGTGTCCATGGTGGGGAGAGAGAGAGGGAGGTGGGCGGGGGGGGAGAACTTTAAAGGAATTGGAGGGGGAGCTTGGACGAAGAGAGTCGGGCATCGCGGGGAGGCCAAGGAGGAAGATGGGTGCCGGATTGGGAAGGCGACGGGTGGCGGAGAGAGAGAAGATCGTAGGGAAGATGTGGCACAGGAGGTGGGATGACGAGATCCGGACAGCATCTGGTGCAGAATATGGCCAGAGCAGGAAGAGAGGCGACCCTGTACGGCATCGCCCTCCGCGGCGCTCGCAGGCGACCACCGGCTCAGATCAGAAACAAGCTCGCCGGTCTCTGCCAACACGGCTCCGCACCGTCCAAATCAGGCCAGCGGACGCCTGCTTTCATCGCGCGGGGCCGTCTGTCGAACCAGACTCCCTCGCAGCGTCCCCACCGGGGGCCCAATCGACTGGGGACTGCCCCATCCGGCGGGAGAACTCCAGAGCGTAGATCTTCCCAGACGCCGCCAGACGCGCCACCGTCCGTATCCCCCCCGCCGTATATAGTCTGTCGATCTTCCTCCAGCCCATCCCCAGCCCTCCTCCTCCGCCTCCTCCTCCTCTCATGTCCCCCGACGCCCACACCCAACCCCTCGCTGCCCCCCTCCTCTGCTCCCCGTCCCTCGACCTCCAGTACCCCCACAGCGA